AATATGAGCCAGCAGTGTGCTGCAGCTACCAAAAAGGCCAACACAGTGCTCGGCTGCATTAACAGAGGGATAGAATCAAGATCACGTGAAGTATTAATACCACTTTACAATGCCTTGGTAAGGCCACACTTGGAATACTGCATCCAGTTTTAGTCACCACGATGTAAAAAAGATGCTGAGACTCTAGAAAGAGTACAGAGAAGAGCAACAAAGATGATTAGGGGACTGGAGGCTGAAACATATAAGGAACGTTGTTGGAATTGGGTATGTCTAGTTTAACGAAGAGAAGGACGTGGGGGGACATGATAGCTGTGTTCCAATATCTCAGCTTTCCATATAGCTTCTAATGGCATCCAAACACTTTCTTAGCCAGCATGATGTCTATGATTCATAAACAGCAGTCCCAAAACTTGCAGCATAACTTAATACCAAACCAACCAAAACACATCTATAAATAGTGCTGCTCTACCACAAAGTTTTCAGAGAATGAATTAAATCAGTTGATCCATTTTGCACCTTGAATACTATGGTGAAAGCCTGCTAAAATAACCAAAATGGTTTTCAAGAGCAGCCAAAGCAGAAGCCATCAACTTTCCATTTTATGGAGCACATAACTATGGTTATCATCTATTTATTTATTATATATTTATTTATTAAGAAAATTTATATGGCCTCCAACTCTATGTAATCCCTCTGGACTGAGCTGCAATTCAAGATGTAAGTAGTCGTTGACTTACAACAGTTTTGTTTAGTGACCATTTGAGGTTACAACGGCACTGAAAAAAAGTGACTTATGACTGTTTTTCACTTTACTAACGTTGCACCATTCCCATTATCAGATGATCAAAATTCAGACACTTAGCAACCGACTCATATTGACGATGGTTGCCGTGTCCCGGGGTCATGTGACTACTTTTTGCAACCTCCTGATAAGCAGAGTCAATGGGGAGGTCAGATTCACTTAACAACCAATTTGCTAACTTCATAACTGCAGGGATTCACTTAACAACTGTGGCAAGAAAGGTCATAAAATGGAGCTAAACTCACTTAACAACTGTCTCACTTAGCAACAGAAATTTTGTGCTCATTTGTGGCCAAAAATCGAGGACTGCCTGTATATGGGTAGAAACTGCAGCATAGTGTTGGCAACCTGAAACATAACTTTGCTGAAAGGGTAGCTCTCTTGCTCTCTCTAACACATACATTCCATACACACACATACCACACATATCACACACACACACTCTGTTCCAATGACTCATTTCCCACTTTCTTATGATAAAAGCAATCCCACCATACGTGGTGTGTCCTCCCTTTTTCTTACATAACAGTGACATCAATGCCACCTTTCAGGTCAAAGCAAAGAAGCAAGCAGAGAAGCTGCTCAAGATTTGGAAGTACTGATTTATTAACCCATTTTCAGAGCCTTTGATGCTGGCAGGTAAGCGTTGCCTTTTTTCTCTCCCTTGATCCAAGATCTGCATTTGTCCAAGAAGCTTAACCTTACTTTTCACCTGTTTTCTGGCCATATCTTACATTGAAATACAAACGATCCAAACAGACCAGATTTGAACAAAATAGTACCCCCCTTCCTGCAAAAAAACAAAGTTATCATTGACCAAGTTTATCACATTTGGCATTATAATTTTTAACCCAGCATGTCGTAAAAACAGTGACAGGTTGCACAAAATGCACAAAATGCAACTAATTATTGTTTATTTCTCTTTATGGGTAACTAACAAGTCCAAATTCTCCAGAGAAAACAAACTGTATTCTCTAAAAAGGCCTTTGCTCAGCGTAGTCCCAAGCAATTTTTCAAGATTTCAATCCTAAATAAGCATGTTTGATATTACATTCTTGCACCACAATGAAATCAAATTTAGATGGAAACAAATTCTATTGAACTTAGCGAACTTTCTCCTTGTATATCTAAAAAAAACCTAAAAATCCTCCTCAGTTCTCTTTCCTTTCTTAATCATTCCTAACCTTTCTTCCATCTTTCTCTCCTTCCATACAACTTCTTTCACTTTCTTTCTCTCCATTCTCTTTTGATTTATTCGGAGTTTTTGAAGTAAATCATTCATTTTGACTTCATCCTACTTGATATGATTGCCTAGAGTTGCTGGGAGTTGGACGGCATTTAAAAAATAATTCAGTTATGGTTGTTTTTGGATACTCAGTCAGAGATTCTCTCTTAAAATGTTTGCTCAGAGTATGCAAATTTATTATAATATTTCATAAGCCATCCTGGTAAAAAGAGGGGTCTGTTTTGCTCAGCAAGCAGAGCCTCAAGGAGCAGGTTTTCTGGAGATCATAAAAATCATATTAAATCAGAATCTGCAATTGAACAACAAATTTCTTTTCAAAATAAGGTATAGGAGAAGAAAATATTTCATAAAATAAAACGGCTTCTCAAAGTCCAAAGAGAATTCCTGCGAAAATGCAATATTTTTAAGAACATGGATCAGAAAACTATTATCTATGAAGATTTTCATTAACACCTAAATTATCTTATATGTACTTTTATTACATCAAGACCCTGTCCTCAACTCCATCAAAGTGCATTTGTTGTTATTCGGACTAACCACTGTTTTCCTCTTTTCAGCTTTCTCATACAAAATTTCTTAGAATTTGTTTGTGAGCGGCCAGAAAGTAGCTGTCAGAAACATAGCATCTAATTTAGAATTCAGAAATTAGCAAATATTTAAGAAGAAAAATAAGTATGGTCTTGTGGAATTATTTTGGATTATTATCTCATTAAATTAGTTGGATTAGATTAGATAAGATTTGGACAGTTAAGATGCTAAATGTCCAAAATGTATGAAAGAATTTGGCAATGACTTACTGTCCAGCCAAGATTTAACGTGATGTTGGAAATCTGACTGACCTAGTAAATTACTTTTATACCAGGCACATGACAGCCTTGTACAGCATTCAGTCTTTTCAAATGCCTATTATGAGGTAAAAATTTAGCGGAGAGTCAACCTGGTGATGGTTAAAGTTATGAGGCTAGAAACTGAATTCTAGTCCTGCCTTAGACATGAAAGCTAGCTGGGTGACCTTGGGCCAATTACTAGGAGATGTGAGTTCTAGTACTGACTTAGACATGAAAGCTGACTGGGTGACATTGGCCACTTGGTATCTCAGCCCAACTCACTTCATAGGATTGTTGTTGTGGGAAAAATAGGAGGAAGGTATATGGGATATGTTTGCCTCCCAAATAAACCTCCAGAGAGTTGTCCAGGGATGTACATGTCTAGCTATATAATAATAATAATAATAATAATAATAATAATAATAATAATAATAGTAAAGTTGGAAGGGACCTTGGAGGTCATCTAGTCCAACCCTCTGCTCAGGCAAGAAACTCTATACCATTTTGGACAAATGGCTGTCCAGTCTGTTCTTAAAGACTTCCAGTGTTGGAGCATTCACCACTTCTGGAGGCAGGTTGTTCCACTGGTTAATTGTTCTAACTGTCAGAAAGTTTCTCCTTAGTTCTAGGTTGCTTCTCTTCTTGATTAGTTTCCATCCGTTGCTTTTTGTCCTGCCTTCAGGTGTTTTGGAGAATAGCTTGACTCCCTCTTCTTTGTGGCAGCTGGACTTCTAAATGGACTTCTAAATTTCAAAACTGATTTGCAGCAAAAAGTTAACGTTTGAAGTAAATTTGTTGTTGCTAAAATTGTACTAACTTGAATCTAGAATGTCCAAAGGATTCACAATTACACACTGGATAGTTAAAATTCTGAAACAACTTTTTGTGTTAGAAGAAATGTTGACTTTGCAGAACTTTCTAAGAAAAAACTAAGTCTCCATTTATTCACTGCGGGGAAAAATGGAATGCTATTGAAAAGTCATTGAAGAAATACTCTTCATTATTTATAAAATGTCTAGCCTGGTTTTCAACTTACGATAAAATTAACTCAGAACGAACCTTTTTAGCAAATTAAAACAATTGGTAATAAAGCTACTTTATAATTTAAACCTTCTTTACAAATCCGGTATCTTTTTTAAAAAAAATAAACCAGGTTAAAAACAGAGTAAGACAGAATGAAATAGTCAGGATATCAACAACAAACCTTGTTTCTTTCCAAACAGTCATTGAGCAGGAAGGGAAAAACATTTGAGAAATCCTAATATGACATTACAAACATAACTGAAAAGAGATTTTCTCATTCCAAGTATTTGATGGCCAAATGGTAGAGCTCAGAGTATAGTTGGGGAGGTATTTATTTGAGATATTGTAACCCAACTTTTAATTCAACCTCGCATCTTTGGCTTTTGTGTTGTGTGATCAATGGACTAAACAAACCACCAATATATAAGAGAATTAAACCTGGTTATGCACAGACATGGAAAGACCTATAGATTCCCACAATGGGAGAGTGGATGATGAAGCTTATGGAACTGGCTGAGATGGAAAAATTAATTACTTTGATTAAAAAAAGATTTTGTCTAGTTTTGTTTCTACGTGGAAATCATTATTGGAGTTTTTGCTTGAAACAAAAAATGCTATATTAATTTTAAGAATTGACAATAAGAATTGTTTATAGTCATAGAAATACAACATATTATTGAATTTTAAATCAAAAGATTAAGGTATTTTGCATTTATAACTGTATAAAAAGAAAATTGAAAGCTCCCTCCCAAATAATTTCTTTCTTTCTTTATTCTATTGCACCCCTTCCTATCTTTTCCTTTTAATTTATTTTGTGCTATATTTTATTTTATGTAAAAATTTAATAAAGTATATTTTTTAAAAAGAGAGAATTAAACATTGCGGTTTTAATAAGTCTTGATGTACTCCCAACCAAAAGAAAGTGAGAGAGAAAAAATGAAAAATAGGACAAATTTTCCAGGATGCAACAAAAAATGTAATTTAGAAAATTAGTACAAGCTTGTTTTTAAATTGGTATTTTAAATTCATTTTGTAAAATACCTTATTTTTTGCAGTCTGATAGTTTCTCTTTCTCTCTTGCTCCTAGATCTTTTAGAGGCTTCCTTGATGTTTACTCAGTGTAAGTATAATTACTCAGCACCTAGAGATCGGCTGTATATTGTATTACAGTTACACTGTATAAAAATGGAAGCGTTTAATTTACTTTTTAATTGATTTGGTTGTGCTCCAATCATCTATGTCTTCTAAACCCTTGAGGCAGATAAAGACAGTTTAGAACAGTGTTTTTCAGTCTTAGTAATGTTAAGATGTGTGGACTTCAGCTCCCCAAATTCTTCAGCATTCGTGGTATTGAAGTTCACACATTTTAAATTTGTCAAGTTTGAAAAACACTGGTTTAGCACCTTGTCATGTCTAAATCTGGCCCAATTCCAGTCTTTCGTGATTCAAATATTTTTCCTTTTGCACTGAACATTTACTAAAGTGAACATGAGCGAACAATCAATGAAAGCACCCCCCCCCCAGTAGAAAGTGCTCTGTTCCTACAAATGATGTACACAGCTCCCTCCGCCCTGGCTTTTCACCAACAAAAGTCTTATTATATCTGTTCAGTTTTGAGGAATTATATTAGCATTTATTTTAATTGTATTGTTGTTGTTTTATTATGTTCTGTGGGAAGCAGTGCCACAGAGAAATGCTACTAAATAAACATGTGCTGATCTTTGAGTAATCTATTTCAGAGGTCCCCAACCTTTTGGGCACCAGGGACTGGTTCCGTGGAGAGAGGTTTTTCCGCAGACTGGAGAGTGCGTGGTTTTGTGTGCTGCCTGCATCCCACGGATGGAGCTTTGCTTGTTTGGCCGGACCGGCTGCTGGCATGCCATGGCCCAGTACTGGTCCATGGACCGGGGGTTGGGGACCCCTGATCTATTTCACAAAAATGGGAGCTAAGTGCTATTTTTATTCTGCTGATAATTGGAGACAAACTTAAAAATATGAGCATGTAATTGAATTCCAAAATTACTTAATACTGTTTAAGTTATGAATAAGAGGTGATTAATAGACGAAATAAACCAACAACATACAAGAGAATTAAACATTGGGGTATTAAATAAGTCTTGATATAGGAGTCACTGAACAAAGATCAAAGAAAAAAGAAAAAGAGAAAAAAATGAAAAAGGAGATACATTTTCCAAGATGCAACAACAACAACAAAAGTAATCCAGAAAATATATACGAGCTTATTCTTAATTTAGGCTTTTAAATTTTAAGTTAAAATTTAAACCGTTTGCTTCATTATAGAAGAATTATTCTTTAAGATTCTGGTTTTATCATTTCATTTCTTTGTTCCTCTAAATTCTTTCAACAATCAGTTCTAGCTGGTTTTGGTTCCCACCACCCTTATCTATTTTTTCCTTAAGATTTTTTTATACTCTTGCAAAATTAGAAAAAAATTCTAAACATCAGAAATCAAAAGAGCTATAGCTGAATTATCTTAGTCAGAAAGTAATAGAATTTCCCTTTATTTTAGACAAAACGTTTGAATAGATAAATAAAGTCTGGGCAGTAACATTCAAATGAATTATTTTTAAGGACCTGATTAATATGTAAACTTCTGGAGTCAAATAGTTAATAGTCAATTTTGTGAGATGCATTTAATTAAGTAAATTTAACTTGAGTTATGTTTACATCTAGTGTTTACTCAAATAAATTTAATTTTGCTCAGTTTTCAGAATAACTTTCTTTCCTTAACCTATAGTTGAATCTATCTTTTAACTCAGGGAGTTTCATTTTTTTAAAAAATGCAAATTAAATTGTTAGGCAACTTTTATTAATTTATGCTATGTTTAACAATCCCCCCTCCCACAACTGGGAACACAGGAAAGCAGCTACTATTATACTGTATCAAGTATTGCTCTGGTATATCATGGTATTTTGAGACATGAAAGGTATCTTCCATATCCACAATCCAGCATTCTCAATGAAGTGTCTTCCAAATGCCTTGAGACTCCAGCTCCTATACATTCTAACCATGCAGTCCTGATACTTCAAAACTGTGCCCCTATAATAGATTGGCCTGAGGTCCAAAATTATACTGGATTTTTAAAAATTTAGTTCCATAACACCTCCATTGTTTGTCAGTCTTTGCCTGCTCCATTCTTTTCCCATTCTCTACAACATCTAGACTGCAGAAATGGAAAGAACCTCTAGCTCAGAGGTCCCCAACCTTTTGGGCACCAGGGACCGTTTACGTGGAGAGAAGTTTTTTCGCGGACCGGAGGGGGTGTGGTTTTGTGTGCTGCCTGCATCTTGCGGATGGGGTTTTGCTTGTTTGTACGGACCGGTTGCTGGCATGCCACAGGCCGGTACCGGTCCATGGACTGGGGGTTGGGGACCCCTGCTCTAGTTAACTGCAAAGAGTTGTTTTCTTCAACTTTTATCTGTCATCCAGTCGCCCCTTAGATTCTGTTCACCCCAATATGGCTGAGCTACTCTCCTAATATCTTGTGGGGCAGGACTCAGAGGCTTTAAAAATATATGGAGATTTGAGACTGACTCTTCACAGCAAAGTTACAAACAATACCATACTTTTGAAAAGCAAGGGCCTCAGAGAGGGTTCTAAGATTTATTGAAAAGATGAAAGGGATTAATTTGCATAAATTTCTGAATACTTTAACTCAATAGGTTTTCTTTTGCCAGTTAATCAAAGAATGGGATGATGTTCTGAACTTTGTTTTTCCAAGTGCCCCCGTTTTCCAGGCAATGAGAACTTTATAACATTGATTTGATTGATTTAAATTTTCAGAGATAGCCCAATATCTTGAAAGGTCAATTGCAGAAGAGGAGTGGAAGGCAACTTTTTTTATTGGATGCTGAGTTTCGGAGTCTTAAAATCCTAATGGACTTTACGTCCAGCTTTTTATAAATTGTCAGGAATCCTTCTGAAGTTGGCAAAATGGAAATGTTGTAAATGGGTATCTGCAAAGGAGAGGTCCAAAAATTCAAGATGGATGGCATAACCACACAAAGCCACAACCTTCCTTTTTTAAACCTGCATCACAACTGCTATCTTGAATTTTTTTTACAACTGCTAGGACACTTCAAAGCATATCAACATACATCCATAACTACTAACCAAGGTTAAAAATGAACCAAGGTTTTCACACTATGTCAGGTCTTTTGCAAACCTGGTTAGGTGTGTCTTGAGTCCCACAACAACTTAGGGAAGAGTTGACCTACATCCTGGCCTCCGTGCATTGATCAAATGCTTAAAAAAAATAAAACGAAAATCTGTGTTTGTGGCCTTGTGGTCACAACATTTATAAATGAATTACAAGTGTGAAAAAAAACCTTACCAACTGGAGTGTTTAGGTCCAGATTTCAGTGAGTCAAAACTTAACTCTGATTATTAGAAAGACTGGAAGTGAAGCCTTTGTCTGTTAACTCTCTACAACTGTCAGGATTTCAAAAGCATTGCTATCTCTCATTTTTTTCTAAACTAAAAGCATCCAGGTCTTTGAATGTTCCCCTCTATCCTTTATTTATAGAGAAATGTGCATTCTCAAGACTACAAAGCTAATAGCTATGAACTCATAATAATGGTTTCATTGGAAGGTGAGCATTATGGTTCCCTAAATGTTACTTTGGGCTTGGATTTAAATTAAACCTTCACAAGGACTCAGAGGGACCTTGGAGTCCTAGTCGACAATCACCTAAATATGAGCTAGCAGTGTGCTGCAGCTGTCAAAAAGGCCAACACAGTGCTAGGCTGCATTAACAGAGGGATAGAATCAAGATCATGTGAAGTATTAATACCACTTTACAATGCCTTGGTAAGGCCACACTTGGAATACTGCATCCAGTTTTGGTCACCACAATGTAAAAAAGATGTTGAGACTCTAGAAAGAATACAGAGAAGAGCAATAAAATGATTAGGGGACTGGAGGCTAAAGCATATAAGGAACAGTTGCTGGAATTGGGTATGTCCAGTTTAACAAAGAGAAGGACGAGGGGGGACATGATAGCTGTGTTCCAATATCTCAGGGGCTGCCACAGAGAAGAGGGAGTCAAGCTATTTTCCAAGGCGCCTGAAGGCAGGACAAGAAGCAACGGATGAAGACTAATCAAGGAGAGAAGCAACCTAGAACTAAGGAGAAACTTCCTGACAGTTAGAACAATTAACCAGTGGAACAACCTGCCTCCAGAAGCAGTGAATGCTCCAACACTGGAAGTTTTTAAGAAGAGACTGGACAGCCATTTGTCCAAAATGGTATAGGGTTTCCTGCCTGAGCAGGGGGTTGGACTAGATGACCTCCAAGGTCCCTTCCAACTTTACTATTATTAATATTATTAAGTCAACTCCTGACTGTCCACTGTCGGTTAGAAGCTGGGTATTGTGTAGTTTTGTACAAACAGATCAAATGCATAGGAATATAAAGGTAAGTACTTATGTTGGCGGTAGTCATTGTGGAAAAAGATGTTGACGTAGTAGTTGAATATGAGTCAGCAATGCAATGTAGTTGCAACAAACGTGAATACTATTTTAGGCTGCCTCAACAGAAACAAAATGATTTCCCAATCTTGGGAATTAATTGTTCTACTTTATTCTAGTTTGATCAGACTACACACAGTTCAGGGTCCTGTTCTGGGTATTACATTTTAAGGAAGATTCAGGGAAATGGGTGAATGGGGAATAATGGATTTAAAATACAGGATGGTAGATTGTAGCTGAATATCAGGAAAAAAAACTATATAAAAGTAAGGAAGCAGATCAACAGTGCCCACTCAGTGACCCAAACAGCTTATTCCAGTACTATTATTCAAACCTTGCTTTACCAAATAAACCAGGGGTGTCAAACTGCCGGCCCGCGAGCCAGATGCTTCATGGTGAAACCGCGCCCACCCCATTGCTGGCAATGGGAAAAAAGTCACAATACGTCATGACACGTCACATGACGTTGCAATTTTGACATCCCTGGAATAAACCATCAATTATTGGAATTGCTCATCATACAAAATTGCTATCCTTCACTATGATTCTTCCTGGAATTGTTGTGGACAATGTATGAGGACTGAGGAGATACAACCTATATTCTATCCAAGAGTACAGAGGTAATCAATGGCTTCTGAACTTGGACAGGAAACAATAGTTATGAAGCAAAAACTGGATTGACCAAGATAGGAGTCTTCCTGTAGACTTTAATAGGCTTTGATTTTTCAAGCCAATAATATGAAATTTATCAACATGTAGTTGAAAGTTCTTTCAACCATAAGTATTGCTTTATAACCTCAAGTATTTCCTCTTCTCCTACACAAGTTGCAATTTATATCAGTAATAAAAGCGGTAGCTGTGGTTAGAGCTAAAAAAGGAGTGCATGACATTTTTAAAAGTTTGCAAAGTTCTTCCTAATACTGTAACTCATCACTTCTAGGGAACTGACATTCAACTTTCATTCAGTGAGGCACGTTTCATTTCAATGTGATTTTCTCTCAGCATTAAAAATCTTGGCTTTTTACTGTTACCCCCATTGGTAACAAAATCCACCTCAGGGTTGGCGAATGTTTTTCTAAAGGATAGACCTCTTTTTTTCCTTCCAGAGCTAGAGAAGAAATATATTTATATCAATATTATGTTATGGATGGATTCGTGCAGGACGAATTCCCCAGATATTTTCAAATAGCACTGGGAATCCATAGGGACTGTGGCCTGCTGGTATTGAAGTGGATGGATTAATGATCAGACTCAGTACGAGGAGGCTTCCCATACCCCATTTAATTTGTCCTTTTCTTCAAAATCATAGAGACCAGAACCCTGATGTTTAGAGAAAGTTTAGATATATGAAGATGATCCAAGTTTTGGTTCCAGATATAGCTAGAAAACCCTGGAGAAAAATTGCCTGACTTGATGATGATGATGATAATAATAATAATAATAATAATAATAATAATAATAATAATAATAATAATAATAATAATAATAATAATAATAGTCTCTTCTTAAAAACTTCCAATGTTGGAGCATTCACCACTTCTAGGGCAGGTAGTTCCACTGGTTAATTGTTCTGTCAGGAAGTTTCTCCTTAGTTCTAGATTGCTTCTCTCCTTCATTAGTTTCCACCCATTGCTTCTTGTCCTGCCTTCAGGCGCCTTGGAAAATAGCTTGACTCCCTCTTCTTTGTGGCAGCCCCTGAGATATTAGAACACTGCTATCGTGTCCCCCCTCGTCCTTTTCTTCGTTAAACTAGACATATCCTATTCCAGCAGCCTTTCCTTATATGCTTTAGCCTCCAGTCCCCTAATCATCTTTGTTGCTCTTCTCTGATAGACCAGGCTACTCCAGATGTTTAGATCTATAATCCATCAGGCATAACCACTGACCGGGCTGTGAAGTTGACAAAGTTCAACTTCCTTCCATGAAATTGACAAGGAAGGATCTATCCTATGGAGAACTGCTATAAACAATGTGCAATTAGGAGATCCTTGTTTGGCTAGACAGGAGGCAGTTTTCTCCAGTGATCTGGTTTTGCTTCATACATAGGGCTATGAACAATCACGATCTGGTGTAGTCAGTGGACTTTGACTTGCAACATAATTCTAGGCTTATGTTTGTTTGCAGTGGGTCAGAAGACAAGCTTGCCAAGACATGAAGTTACAAATAATACCTGAGGTTTGTGAGCTCATATGTTTTTGTGCACAATTCAGGGTGCTTTCCATTAGCATATTCATCAATTTCTATGTGCTCTTACCACCCACACAATACTCAACAACCAGATTTTCCCCCTAATGAGGTTGAGAAGTTTGGCATTATAAGCTATATGTCGGAACTCAGCATCTTGATAGATAAAAGGGTGTCATAGAGATTACGGCAAGAAACTCTTTTCCATGGCCACAGAAAGTAGGACATAAATAATAGGTATAAGTTGCAGCAACAGGGGTTTTATATAAATACAAAGGCAAACTTCCTAATTGTCTATACAGCAGTGGAATAATCTGTCTTCATAGAGAGATCAAAAGTCTGGAGAGCCATTTCTTAAGGATGGTTCAGCTGGTGTTCCTGCACATTGCTAGAAAGTCAGCCTAGTTGATCTAATCTTCATGGTCCCTTCTCACCCCACAGCTCTACAATTTTCTCAGCCTAGTTCAATAGCCAAAGAATCCAATATCTGCAGTTAAGCAGCAAGATTTAGAAGGCATAAATTCAGCTTTCTGGGAAGGAGTTAGTTGCCTGAAATCATGGATCCGTCATGAGCAGAAAGTCTAGGATCAGAAATCATAAAAAACTGTAAGACGGCTAGGAATCAGAAGCTGGATCTAGTTTAGAAGCTGTAAGTTAAGAATCAGAAATGTACAGTCATTGGGAATCATAATTCTAAAATCAAGCATGTATTACTATAAGCCCAGACTTGAATATAGGATTTAGAAATCAGAATCATGGGCCATATGCCATGACAAGGAGTTGGAAACTTGACATAAAAGACTGGGGCTCAGAGTTCAAGAATGGATTCATGGATGCAGAGTCAAAAACTTGCACTCACAGGTCAGGAACTGTGGATACCAGAAAATAAAGTTGCTTGGGAAAATTCCAAAGTGATAAAGAAATCTTTTCTAGGATTACTTTAGTTCTAGATTTTTAAGAAGAGGACATTCTCTGCAAGCAGCATCTAAACTAAGATTTAGATCAGAGTTTTTCAAACTTGGACTTCAGCTCCCAGAATTCCCATTCATGCTGGCTGAGAAATTCAAAGAGTTGAAGACTATACATCTTAAAGTTGCCAAGTTTGAAAAATACTGGTTTAGAATTTTCTCTGTGTCTCTTGTTTATCAAATTACTTATGTTAAGTAATAACCTTCTATCTTCCCAGTATAATTTCCAAATATTGTGTTATAAAACAAATATGATCCCAAATCTTGTGGAAAACGAAAGGACTCTTACGAATTCCAGAGAGTTTTAGCAGAGAGATTTATTGCGCAGGTTCAGAAGCAATAGCAACAGTAATTTTGAACCCCGAGGGCGGGTTCAGACTTCAGTTTTATACTTTCTTTTTCTCAGGAACAAAGGAATACACATTGTAATACATTAGGTTCGTTTCTCAGGGGTATACAATGGAGAGAATTTGCTACATACATTGTATCCAAGTGCAATGCACATTAGGTTAGTCACATACAACTAACACAGCACTATTCCAGTAATTATACAGACACATCATTATTCTAGTGATTGTTCATCATTCCACATTACAACCACCTGAATACCAAGTTTGAGAAACCTATCCTAGACTTTCCTCTCAAAAGTGCCTCTTAGCACCTGATAGTAACACTGCCTGCCAATTGGAGTTTCAGTTGAATGAGACACACTTTTGGTCACCACGATGTAAAAAAGATGTTGAGACTCTAGAAAGAGTACAGAGAAGAGCAACAAAGATGATTAGGGGACTGGAGGCTAAAACATATAAGGAACGGTTGCGAGAATTGGGTATGTCTAGTTTAACGAAGAGAAGGACAAGGGGGGACATGATAGCAGTATTCCAATATCTCAGGGGCTGCATAAAGAAGAGGGAATTAAGCTATTTTCCAAAGCACCTGAAGGCAGAATAAGAAGCAACGGGTGGAAACTAATCAAGGAGAGAAGCAACCTAGAACTAAGGAGAAACTTCCTGACAGTGAGAACAATTAATCAGTGGAACAGCTTGCCTCCAGAAGCAGTAAATGCTCCAACACTGGAAGTTTTGAAGAAGAGACTGGACAGCCATTTGTCCGAAATGGTGTAGGGTTTCCTGCCCGAGCAGGGGGTTGGACTAGATGACCTCCAAGGTCCCTTCCAACTTTACTACTATTACTATTACTATTACTTTTGACCCACAGATTTAAGAAAACTTATGTTTCCTCTCAGCTGCCCTTAGATTTTGGCCTTTGCAGCAAGTTGCGTGTGTCATAATTCTGTCCCCCTTTTAGATTGTCAGATCTGTATGATTATGCTTGCAAAATATTTGGAACACTGAAGTAACACTTCTCACTAAATGCTAATTATGAGTCAACATGAATCATAAGAGTTGTTTTTATGCACTTCCAGATTTCATTAGGCAATTCATTTTTTATAACATTTGCAATGGGCCATCTTTTTTAGGCCATGACACTATTTCTGTTTAAGATATACAGTATATTTTTAATAGCCAAGAAAAGCAGGAGGAAAGGCAATGACACAATGCTTGGGTTCACACAATCATCTTGACCTAAACTTAAATCTGAGTTAACAAAATCTAATTGCTATATTTAAGCCATATCCAAGGGCCTAATAAACAGATCTTATTCTGGCTTTAGCCTGCATTACAACTTGTTTAGGAAATAATTTGTTATGAGAAACCAGCCAATGAATTCCGGCAATAGGAGACTCCAGAAATAGGGCTCAGGGGACCACAATGATGTTTGCCATTCTTTGAAAAGTGAAGATTGCTGTTCTCTTTCTTCTTCCAGGGTGAGGTAGCAGATGAGGTGATAAAAAGGAAATTGTGGTTGATCTTACCAATTTTCCAGGCGGGTCTGAAGTGATTGAGAGCTGCACCGCTAAGCAGACTTAAAAGGTCAGGTATCCCCAGGTCCTCTATGATTTCACTGTACCTTCAATATCAGCATCAAAACAAGAAGAGAAAACATCTTATAAGTGCTTAAACCCGGATTACCTTGCAAATCTTATGTAAACCTGGGGAAAGGTCAATGCTGGTAGGGTTGGTTTTGTGATGTTAGCTTGGAGAAACAACTAAGCTTTGAAAGTATAGTTTTTTGTTTCATCTCTGGATCCACTTCTATTGCTAACATCCACAAAAGTTCCTGCTGGATCTGTTTGACTTTGATTTTTCAGTAATCAATTAATTTATAGGACTTTTCATCTTAAGGTGTGGGGATAGCTTTTGAGCAGGGGCATCTACAGTTGATGGACAGAATCAAAAACGTTCAAGGTGGGTGCATGATCTAGGACTCAGGCCTTTCTAAATGCAGAATTCCAGACTTTCACTCTGCTTATTGTAATCATTGAATTCTTAAGGGGCAAGGACCACATTGGTACAATTGTAGTTAGTGTAACAACTGTAACTTTCCTATTCCATTTAGATTTAGGAATAATAATAATAATAATAATAATAATAATAATAATAATAGAGAAAGTCATAGAAAATGATAAAATTAAACTGCTCTGGGACTTCAGAATTCAAACAGACAAGCACCTGCAACATAACACCCCAGACTTAACAATTGTCGATAAGAAAGACAAAAAAGTCTGGATAGTGGATGTGGCAGTGCCTGGAGATAGCAGAATAGAAGAGAAAGAACTGGAGAAGATAACAAAATACAACGACCTACAAATAGAAATAGAAAGACTGTGGCAAAAGCAAGCAAGGGTAGTACCAATAGTCATAGGCTCCTTGGGTGCAATCCCAAAACAACTGGAGCACCACTTGAACACAATTGGCATTGACAAATTCGCTATTAGTCAGTTGCAAAAGGCAGCCGTACTAGGAACTGCTTCCATCCTGCGACGATATCTGTAATACCCTCAAACATCCACATCTGCCTATATTGGAGTTCCTGGATATCTGGTGAAAAATGGGTTACAGGACTCAGGACTGTTGGCTGAGCAACCAGGGCCAGCAGCTGCAGAACTACTGGAAGAAAAGGTGTTTACCCGTCGCAGATACACAGTGATGGAAAACAAAGAAATAATGATCTGTTACTACAGATCAAGTACAACAAGAAGAGGATATCTAAAACGAATGCACCAGTTCTGGAAAGAACAACATCCAGAATCAGAAATAACAGAACAGAGACTAGCAGATCAACACCGATTTATAACACGAAATAAAGTATTCACAGAAACAGAATTGGACGAACTGCAAAGGTTTACCCAGGGCAAAGAAATCAAAGCCTTACCAGAAGTAATTCAGAATGTAGAGGCAAACCAGGGGGGAGTTGGCAGTGAAGGAATCCAGCAGAGATATACAACTGTTCTCATTTGGAAACCAGGCACCTCTTCCTCAGGAAGAACAAAACCCTCTAACTAAAGAAATAAAAGAATTGAAACAAAGAATAATTGAGCATCTAAAACAGCACAAAAACAACAGAATAAGGCTACCTGCATTGAAGCTTGTTCCAAAGAAACCGCTAGCACAAGCATTAAAAGATGCAAATACTGCAATAGCAAGTATAAGCACCAATTCACTGCAAGAAACAAACCAACTAATGTACAGCACAGCTGCAGTTATAACTGAATACCTGGGATGCAAAATCAACAAAGAAGAAAAACAAACCAACAGTACACCACAAAAATGGAAGGTTAGACTCGAAAATAAGATCAGCAAGTTAAGATCACATGCAAGCAAGCTAGAACAGATGAAAGAAAAGAAGCTGAAGAACAAGAAGACCAAAGAATACCTAATCAAGAAATACCACTTAGAAACAAGGAAGATCAAGGAAGCATTGGAAATAATAAAGCAACAAATAACAGCTATAGCCAGGAAAATCAGTAGATATGAAGCTCGAATTGCAAACTATAGGCAGAACCTCCAATTTCAATCCAATCAGAAACGTTTCTACCAATCCATCAATGGAGAAACTGCAAGGAATCAGTCAGTACCTGACAAGGAAGAAACAGTGCAGTTCTGGAAGCAGATATGGGATAACCCAAAGAAATACAACAAGGATGCAGCTTGGTTAAAAGAGGTGGATGCAAATAAAACAGAAGTTGAAATGAAAGAACTAGTAATAACAACAAAAATGGTAGAAAAAAGAGCAAAGAAAATCAAAAATTGGTCAGCACCAGGTGAAGATGAACTGCATGGGTTTTGGTTGAAACATCTAACTGTTCTACACCCACTCATTGCCAAACAGTTCAACAATATACTACAAGGAGGAGAAAATGAAAAGTGGCTAACAACTGGGAAAACCTACCTAATAATAAAAAATCCAGCAAAAGGGGCAACACCAGGTAACTACAGGCCAATTACCTGCTTACCAACAACTTTCAAATTACTAACTGGTGTGGTAGCTGATGCAGTACAACAGCATCTAGTTGAAAACAATCTCTTTCCACATGAGCAGAAAGGAAACCGCCCCAATAGAAGAGGAACAAAAGATCAACTCCTAATAGACAAAATGATCTTGGAAAACTGCAAGAGAAGGAAGACCAACCTGAATGTAGCATGGATTGACTACAAAAAGCATTTGACTCTCTGCCACATGATTGGATAATCAAGTGCCTAGAAATAACGGAGTAAGTAGAAACATCAGAAAATTTGTGCAAAAATCGATGGCACAAATGGAGGAACCAAGTTGTGCAGATCAATGGTGAGAGACTGGGAGAGGTTAATATCAAGAGAGGAATATTTCAAGGAGATTCATTGTCACCATTACTATGTGTTATTGCACTGTTTCCTCTGTCAACAATACTGAATAACTCAGGACATTGTTATCAAACATCAAAAACATCTGCTAGACTATCCCACTCCTTTACATGGATGATCTGAAGCTGTATGGAAAAACATCATCTGAAATAGAATCGCTGCTCAACACTGTCCGTATATATAGCCAAGATATTGTAATGGAGTTTGGCTTGGACAAATGTGCCACACTTACTATCAAACAAGGAAAAATAGTGAAAACTGAAGGAATCAAGATGCCCCACGAAAATAACATTAAGAGTCTGGATGAGGAAGAGTACTACAAATACTTGGGTATCCTTCAAGCTGACAACATCAAGCACACTGAAGTCAAGAAAAAGATTAGAGGTGAATACATCAAGAGAGTGAAGAAGATCTTAAAGTCCAAACTCAATGGAGGAAATACCATAAAGGCAATCAACACCTGGGCAATCCCAGTCATTAGGTACACAGCTGGAATAGTGGACTGGACTCAAGCAGAACTAAAAGCAATGGATAGGCAGACCAGAAAAATAATGACAATGAATCATGCCCTTCATCCACGCAGTGACATTGATAGACTTTATCTACCAAGGCAAATAGGTGGGCGTGGAATGCTACAAGTACATCAGATGGTTGAAGAAGAAAAAATGGCTTTGGAAGAATATCTGAAGAACAATGATGAAGATGCACTGAAATTAGTATATCAGGAAGGCTTACTGACTACTGGAGAGACCAAACTGGCCTACAAGAAGACCAAATGAAGAACAGAATAGAGGCATGGGAAGACAAAGCACTACATGGCCAATACATGAAAAAAATAGCTGGGAAAGCAGATAATAATAAAACCTGGCAATGGCTAAGAGCAGGAAAATTGAAGAAAGAGACCGAGGGACTAATTCTGGCTGCACAAGACCAAGCCTTAAGGACAAATGCATACAAAGTCAAAATTGAGAAGACAGCAACAGACAGTAAGTGCCGCCTATGCAAAGAAGCTGAAGAAACAGTGGACCACCTGGTAAGCTGTTGCAAGAAGATTGCACAGACTGACTACAAGCAGCGGCATGACAAAGTAGCAACAATGGTGCATTGGAAGATCTGCAAAAAATATCATTTGCTTGTAAGCAAAAACTGGTGGGATCATAAAATAGAGAAAGTCATAGAAAATGATAAAATTAAACTGCTCTGGGACTTCAGAATTCAAACAGACAAGCACCTGCAACATAACACCCCAGACTTAACAATTGTCGATAAGAAAGACAAAAAAGTCTGGATAGTGGACGTGGCAGTGCCTGGAGACAGCAGAATAGACGAGAAAGAACTGGAGAAGATAACAAAATACAAAGACCTACAAATAGAAATAGAAAGACTGTGGCAAAAGCAAGCAAGGGTAGTACCAATAGTAATAGGCTCCTTGGGTGCAATCCCAAAGCAACTGGAGCACCACTTGAACACCATTGGTATTGACAAATTCGCTATTAGTCAATTGCAAAAGGCGGCCTTATTAGGAACTGCTTCCATCCTGCGACGATACCTGTAATACCATCAAACATCCACATCTGCCTATCCCAGGTCCTGGGTAAGGACTCGATAGGTAGACAAAATGCCAAATCCAGTCTGAACATCTGGCTGACTGTGCGATGATCCACCATCTAATAATAATAATAATAAGCCTTGGGTGCAATCCCCAAAACAACTGGAGCACCACTTGAACACCATTGGCATTGACAAATTTGCTATTAGTCAATTGCAAAAGGCGGCCTTACTATGAACTGCTTCCATCCTGCGACGATACCTGTAATACCATCAAACATCCACATCTGCCTATCCCAGGTCCTGGGTAAGGACTCGATAGGTAGACAAAATGCCAAATCCAGTCTGAACATCTGGCTGACTGTGCGAGGATCCATAATAATAATAATGATAAAGTTGGAAGAGATCTTGGAGGTCATCTAGTCCAACCCCCTGCTCAGGATAGTTATCCATGAGTTGGTTGCATTGTATTGACTACTGCAATGTGTTTTATAGGGAACTACCCTAGAACAATTAACCAGTGGAACAACCTGCCTCCAGAAGCGGTGAATGCTCCAACACTGGAAGTTTTTAAGAAGAGACTGGACAGCCATTTGTCCGAAATGGTATAGGGTTTCCTGCCTGAGCAGGGGGATGGACTA